CTCAATTATTCTCCTCTGAAATGGATTCCTTCATTTAATCTATTTTGCCTTTAGGGTGTTTCATTTCCAAGGAGATGCAACTCTGTGGGCTGTCGGCCATTAATTGTAATATATTTATGTTTATATATAGCCTCAATATAGTGCTGAGGGTATACATGTGTTTATCCACACTATATCTCAGTTATTAACAGTCTGTTGGCCTTTTTTTTAAAATGTGTTTGAGAGGGTCCAAGGACAGCGCTTGTCAGATGCCCCACAGATTGTAAAACCCTCTGAGGCAGTTTTGTGATCTGCACTATTGGGCTTTAAATCAATTGAATGTTTTCCTCCACTCGCTCAGTCTCCTGAAAATTGCTCCTGGAACTGAAAACCAGTCAAATTTCCTAAAAACACACTTGGCCAATAGACAAAACAAATGTCCTTTTGGAATGACGACCAATAATTAAATGTTCAAGTTGACGACTGACAGTGGAGTCAATATTCACATGGTAGGTCACAGTACAGCCCTGATACCCTGCTGTGCGTAGGCTAGTCTAGCTGAGTCGAGAAGCCCTGAGGTCATTGACCTATTTCTGCCTAAGAGCTGCTGTAACACCTGGATGGTGCATGTGTGTGTTTGTGTGTGTGTGTGTGTGTGTGTGTGTGTGTGAGAAGAAGCCCCCTGTCTCTCTGGGGCATTACTGTACAGCTCTGTTTGGTGCCTGCTGGTAGGAACACACACTCTCTCCCTCCTCCTGTCTCCCAGCTCCTTCCCCCACTCTCCATCTTTTCATAGAGCAGCAATTTCCCAGCACACACACACACACACACACACACACACACACACACACACACACACACACACACACGCAGGCACACACACACAAACACACACACACACACACACACACACACACACACACACACACACACACACACACACACACACGCAGACACACACGGTCCTTTCTCTATCACTCCCAGGTGCACACCCGCTGAGATGTCCAGTGCTGAGTGTTGCTGGATCTGCGTCCACAGCAGGACATGCGCACACGTGTACACTCACTCTCTCTCACGCACACACACACACACACACACGCGTGGGCACACCTCCACAGATCCTGTTACACTAGACGTGTTCGCAGCGGGGTGAACCCGGTTCGAACAGCTCGCGAGAAAGTCTAATGATTGATGATAAGACCAGAATATCTGCAGCCACAGCAAAATCACACAAACAGGTTATCTGGGGCCTCCAGGCGCCGCGCTCCTTCCCATGAAGGAGAGCAGAGGGCCCGGGATCATTAGCGTGCACGCACACACTACTGGGTCCTTCAAACCCACTACCAACAGACCTGGGCACGGACTTAAAGCACGAGTGCCGGCAGATTGTCATGCACACAGAGCAACCCCCCCCTGTACTTTGGGAGTTTCTTGCTGAACTGCTGAGGAGGCAGAGCAGGTAAGCAGGTACGCCAGCAGTGGGGCAGAGGTGCTGTTTGTCTTATGAGCAGTAGCACCACAGCAGACACACACACACACACACACACACACACACACACACACGTGCACCCAGTGCTGGTGGGCGACGATGTCCACCAGTCAGTGAATGTCGCTGGTGGAGTGTGTTTGTCGTGTCCCCGCGGGGCCGAGGTGTGTTGTGTGTTGCTCCTGCACAAGCGGTGTGATTGGAGTCGTTCCCAATGACGTAAGGCGGAGAGCAGTGTTCTCATACACAGCGGTGATGTAATGGACTGTGAAGGTACTAGTCAGGCCCTTTCTTCATGCTCCCTCCTCCTCTCTACCTCTCTCTCCCCCCTCCTCTTCCTCTGTTCCCATCTCGACATCTTTTCTGTTTTTTTGTCTCTTCGTCTTGGCAGGCTTCTCCTTCTACTCCTCTGGGAACCGAGACCCAACAGCTCCCTCGCTCGGTCATAAAGGGAGGTGGAGCTCCACGCTGTGTCTCCAGCGCTCCATCATCTCCACCCATCTCGTTCCACCAGTTCGGCCCGCCCTCCGTCCCTCTTTCCCTCCTTTGCGCATCGTTTGGTGGATACTTTCTAGAGACACGCGGCCCTTTTGTCACGTAAACTGTCAGAGACGTGACACATTTATTAGACTCCAGTTCCCACTAAGGAGTCCCGAACCAGTGCTCCACCTCCTCGTCGCTTCCTTTCTCCCTGCCTTCATCAAAGGAACCCACCAGCCCCGAGGAGGGGGGGTCCACAATGAGACAGACAAAACCCTCCCAGCCCTACTGGACCATCCCGGTGTGATGCAGACGCGAATGCATTCAGTGTTCTGCTGCACGCGCACTTCTTCTGGAAGACCGACGATGTCACCGTCTTCCCAAGGAAGCTTCAAAAGCGGAACAGGAGAAGAAAGACAGACAAACACACACACACACACACACACACATAAGAACAGCGGGGTGGGGGCCCACTACATAAATATCAAATTACCAAACACATCAAACGCACAGAGGATGAAATATTGATAACTTTGAGACATTTATGTAACCCACAATGGTGCCTTATATAAGTGTTCCATTTACAGAGATGCGCATGGGGGGCATTGTTTCCCTTCTTCTTCTTCTTCTTCTTCTAACAGTAAAGGTGTATGTTGGCAGCGGAGGCGGGGAGCGCGTGAGAGAAGTTTGGAGAAGCGGGTTCCCTCTCCGGCGAACGAGCTGCTTCAGAGCACGTGACCCGCAGACACGTCCTCATCTGGTCACATGTGGACAGCAGCACCAAGCAGCGCTGCTGGATGTGCGTTCACGACGGGGGAGGGAGGAGGAAGGAGGGGAGATGGGGAGAGATGGGGAGGAGGGGTGTCTGTCAATCGCTGCGCGATGGAGGCTGCTCCCTCCGAGCATGTGGAGCAGACGGGGAGGTTTTGGGCTTCTGTCTCTGCTTTGAGCTGCAGATCACACAGCCGCACGCACAAACAAGCAAGGAGATATGGGCTCCCTCTAATTAATTGTAAAAGAGGATGCTGAGTGTGTGTGCGTGTGTGCGTGCGTGCGTGTGTGTGTGGTTTCGTGATTGCATGCGTGAGGAGAAATGATTGCGGGAGAAAACAAGAGGGGGAGACGTAAGTTTGCAGCCACTCTTCGTGGTTTTTCCTTTGAAACTGCTGTTCCCCACTAAGGCCGAATAAATTAGAGCTCTAAATAGGAATAATAATGAGAGCATACATTATTTCTGTTGTTGGTACTGGTTGATGTTGTTGTTGTTTGTGTCGGCAGGAAGGCTCAGATCTCATATATGCAAAAAAATTAAAAAAGGTAACTTCCCTGCATGTTTTATAAGTTTGCAGGATCGTTTTAATGGTGACCCAAAAAGATGTCCTAGATATTTGGGGAACATCCTTTTGAAAAATTCCTGAAACTACAGACAGAGAGACAGAGGGGAAGAGAGAGGGAGGCAGAAAGGGAGAGAGAGAGAGAGAGGGAGGGAAAGGTGATATGGAATGTAACCGTGTGGTGAATGATGTTTTCATTTTAAGAATCTCTCTGCTCTGACAATCTTCTCTCATGTCCTCTCATGATTGCAAAGCCTTTTTATTCATTTGCAAATGTTAAAAGTTCTTAACACATTGAAGATGATGACGCTCCATCATTATCAATTCCCATTTAAAGCTGACAGCCCCATCTGCTGGCCTCTGGCAATGACAACCACGGGACCCCCTCCTCCTCAGCATGTGATGGGACCGGCCCCCCCTCTGGGAATCCCCACTGCAGGTTATGGACCTTCTTCGGCTTCACCGTCCAGGATGCACATCCCACCCCAAAGTCCAACCTGAGCCTTCACGGCCTCGTGTTGCACAGCTGACATCAGGGAGGTCATGAGTGTGCAAATGGTTTATTTATCTTAACAAGCTGCAAAGTTCTTGTTTCCTTCTTTATATTCTTCATTATTAGGGCACCCCCCCTCTGAGAAAGGGTTGAGTGTTAGATCATTATAATCAATTAAAAGTATTGCTATTAAGAAGACATTTCACTCATGTAAAATAATATAATATGATAACATAGACCAGACAAAAACGCTCTGTGGTGGGGAAAAAGTGACATCCATTTAATGAACTTGTGACATCTTCTAGAATTACGAGAATACAGACCACCAAGCCAAACAACGTGGAGGTGGGTAAGCTCTCTTTAACATCAGCAGCTTCTGGAGCCACAAACACATATGCACGCAAAAAGAGAGCCGTGCACACAGAACCTCGTTGCTGGGCAACCCGCTGATTGTTGATGTTCTCATCTGGAGCGTGCGCTGCCGTGCTCAGCTGTCTCAACCTGTCTCGGTTCGGGTCTGCTCGTTTCTCTCCGGCCTCCACTTCTCTGCTCTCATCAAAGCAAACTCTGAGCAGCCTGCTTGGCCCTCACGTAGAAGTTCATGCCGAGAGCATTTTACAACGTCACGTGTTTGCAGACGCAGCCCTGCAGCTATTACATAGTAGTTATGTTTGATTTGGGTCACTTAGCGTGATATCCTGGTGGTGCATTTAATCAGGGATTCATTTAAGTTGGCTGCATCTGTTATTCTGTGCTTTTATTTGTCTTTATTTAGAGGCACAATAATTGCAACCATTGCCCACAATGCTGCAGTCCTTAATATTATGTCTTTGCCGTGCATTTTTTCACCGTTCACTAACTGCATGCTGACACTCAGGATGTCAGTGTAAACTTTGAACATCTAGCTTAACACACCAGCAGCTTCCTGTCTTCTCATTGGGCTCCTCTGTTTTTCACATATAGAGTTTAACACGACCATTCTGTGAATCTTGTCCCTACTTTGTAACAAGTGCCAAATTACATTTTAGCATTTTACAACACAGATCTTTTCAAATAAGGAAATCCCAAATGAACTTTGCCCTTGTTAGGGGTCCTGCCCTGCAGAGGTGATAGCTTTCCCTGACTGTAGATGGCGTACGTTAGCATCTGCGTTGAGGTGGATAAAAGGACATTTGAACTGCGTCAGAATGTAATATGTTCAACATATCACATTATGTCTGATGTTTATGTTTGTCCACTTGCTCAAACGCACGTTTAAAGGCGATCGGACAACGGCACCTTTTCTTGTCCGAATCACCAATGGAGCGCCTCTTAAAACTGGGTTTAATGGATGTAAATACGAGCGTAGAAAGCAGCTAGATGTGCAACGTTCTCCAGTCGTGGTGTCGCCCCCCCCCCCACCGCCCCCAGCTCCCTCGCTTCATGGAGAGCACGTCTGAAATACCAACGGTGACATGTGAAATACAGACAGCATGTCCTATGGCCTCACAGCACAGGGTGCCCCCCCCCAAACAGAGCCGCATCAGAAGCCACAAAAACCTCAGGAAAGCCGCAACAGAGAGAGAGAGAAGTTAAAATATGCAATTTAACTTTCAAGTAATAATAGAGAAATCTCTTTTTTTTACAAGCTAAGACATAGTTTGGAATCAGAAACATTTGTGTGTAAAATTCACCTTGATCCGTTTTTTTTACTGACTTTAGAGCATTTATGCACGGGTTCTGTGTACTGTGGGACTCTGTATGTAGAGAAAAGAAAGTTTATTGCCAAGAACGTTGCGGAACAGAATTTGCCTTTATTATTGGTGCAACCCTATGAACACAGTGCAGTGATATAAGACAAAATAAACACATTTAAAACATGAAATGTATGGTAAAATATTTTAAACCATTAAACAAATGACAGTAGGTTGATTTCATTAAGTGTCAAGTGTATGTGAGAAATGTAAAAAGGTGCGGAACTGTAAGAAATTGTTGGTATAAGCACACTTAGCTTCATGGTAACAATCCCTCCCTCCAGCCCAGTCACAAGTATGCAGTGCTACTGCCTGGTAGCACAAAGCACACCGTGAAGCTCATGTGACCGTATTAACCTTTCAGACCTAATCCTGCAGCCATGAGACAGAGAGATCAGAAAAAAAGTTAGAGAAATTTCCAAAGAACAAAGAAAGCAGAAGAGAAAACAACTGTCAAATGTTTTGTTGCTCCTCTGAAGCCCTCAAGACTCCGTTTCTATCTATGGTTTGTTTTGACACACAGACTCTTGATATACAGAAGCGCAGATTTGCCACTGCATTGTCAAATGAATCGAATTGAACCCGATATCAGCGTGCAACTCCCCCCGTGGCTTCAAAAGCAACAAGACCACAGAGAATAAAACTGACGTGATGTTCTTGTAGCATCAGTGACAGCAAGAAATGTCTCCATTATTTCCATAGTTAGTTTTATAGCTCGCAGCCAAATGTCAGTTTACTTGCTGAGGGGCCGGCGACATAACACGGCTGCAGGGTCTGGCAATGTCATTGGCTGCGTGACACGAGTTGTATGGCTTTGTCATGCTGGTCTTTCGGCATGTGAGTGAGTCAGTGGAGCCTTAGGTCAAGATCAGCCGATTTCATTGAAAGGGAAGTTACATTAACCCGGAGCGGTGATTAATATTAGGCATTAATGAGCCTTAAACATTGCTTCCCACTGACCGGAGGACCAAACCCTCCAATCATATCATACTACTTAGTCTTGAAATTCTTTATTTTTATAGATTTTCATGGCAACCCATTCAATTGTTATTGAGATGTTTAAGTTGGTACCAATGTGGTGGAATTAGAAAAAGCAATTTCAAATCTGGGATGGCCAATTCAGAAGCCCTCGATTTCATACATGGCTGCGTCCTCAGAGGCAATTTAAACAATTCAGTCCAAGTGCTTTTTTGTGTACGCTTGGGATGTTTGCCTGACACCAACCTGGATATAAATACAAACAAACTGCCTGCACATAAACTCATTTCCTCATTGCCTTTGTACCGTGTGGATGCCTCTGATCATTGATCACAATCAATTTAACACCTACTTCCAATTTAGATTCCTACACTGGTGCAAGCTAGACATCCATATGAAAAAGAAACATTCCTTGTATTATATAACTAGATAGACATGAATGTCTTTGTTGGATAACCGGGCAGTTGGAAACCATGTGGCATCACCGTGCCATTCTAACTCTTACTGTGCTCTGGTGAAACACAAGTGTGGTAGAAAGAAAGGCCATAAAGCAGTTAATGAGAAACGCTTGTTAAGCAGACACACATAAGGAATGCCGTTTCACTAAGCCTTAATCGGACAATGCTTCGTTACTTTAGTAGATATTGTGAACTTTGCTATTGCTCTACTTTCTATAACTCTATGTCAAGTTCTTACGGTAGCATCAGCCACGCCCCAAACTCGCAGCCCGTCTATAATTGCTCTCCCAGAGTTCACTATGTGTGTGACATGCCGCCCAAGCACCACCACAGCTCTTGTAAGGGACTCGGTAGCATTTAGCACCGAAGTGCTACCTTACCCCCTCCTCCTCCCGACTCCATTGGGAGACACCTGTTGGCACGGAGACACCTCGGGGTGGCAACATTTAACATGGCGATGTTCGTTTTTTCACCCTCCCTTCTTTCACCGTCGGCCATTAACATTGCCCTCCCTGCCCCGGGCCCAATCGACTCTACACACTCGTAGTGCGGTCCTGTGGCGGGATACACGCTCACACTGGACGTTTGAGCAAGACTGAAGGAACCAAAGGGAAGTAAAGAGGCTTCTCCCGGGATCCTGGGGATTGTTTTCGGAGTATCATTTTATGTTTTCTCTGACAACATGGAGTACTGCTTTTTGACTGGATTCCTAGTGGTTTTGTTGCTTCAACGTTGCACGTGTGAAGGTAGGCTGGCATTTGACAAACGGTCTTGATTATCTGTGGTGAAATCTTTGTGTTTTGATCAAAGGTTATTAGCTGCAGACTGAATTCAAACGGCACATTTACTTCATAATTTCCAATAGAATTCCCCCCACACACATCGTGCTAATGACCTTCAACTAATATGTCTGTAAATAAAGTAATGATAATCATAGATATTATCCTTGGACTGGTTGTCAACATGACCTCTTCATTGGTATCAATGATCACATACAATAAATATTCTATACCATCCCCACAGGTCACTCTACCTCCATCCAGTCCTCCACAGTGGTGCCCTTGCATGATGGGCCAACCGTCCTCCAAGAACCAGAGCCCCCTGCAGAGGTGGTACCTGCGGTGGCCCCCCCCAGCCTGAAGGAAGTACAGCAGGCCGTGCAGGAGGCCTCAGAGCAGGTGGAGACCCGTGGGGCGGAGGAAGTGCTGAAGGTGCTGCTGGAGAGGGTGGTGGAGGCAGCTTGGGGGCAGGTGGAAGTAGCAGGAGAAGTGAAAGCAGATGAGGAAGCAGTACGGGAGGAGGATGCCCTTGAGCCTGAAAAAGAGGAGGTGGAAACAAATGCAGAGGTGTTGGAGAAGGCGGTGGAGGGAGAAGATGTGGTTGCCCAGGGCGACGATAACGATGCTGGAGAGGAGCAGGAGGTAGCAGTGGTGGATGCAGTGGAATATGTTTCTGAGGAGGGCAAAGGAGTTGAGGAGGGGGAAGGGGAGACCGTGACGGGATCTGTGGAGGAGACCGGAGTGGGGGTAGAAGCAGAGGGAGAGGAGGTTATCAACAAGTCTTCAGGCATTGAATACGCTCCGAGGACTGTAGAAGACACTGTGTTAGAAGAGGTGGGAGGGCATTTAAAGTTGGCGGAGGCAGGGCCGCGGGTCGGCATCGAGCGGGCTGTGCTGTCGGAAGAGAAAAGTGCGGCTCAAACAGAAAGGCCGGAGGTAGAGGAAACCCCAGCTGTTGTGGAGGAGGCCGTGGCCGAGTCCAACACCAGCCTGCCGTCAGTAGGGGACGTGTGGGGAAATGAAGAAACTCAGGTCGATGAAATGGAGGGCGACGCCATAGTCCCTCACTCTGATGATTTAGAGTCCACACAATCAGTGGTAGGGGAGAAGGTAGAAGAGATAAACATAGAGGAGGATGCCAAAGAGCCAGAGGTGGAGGACGAACAAGGCCATTTGGTGGCGGGGGGTGTAGCTGCAGAAGATGAAGGGGCAGAAGCTACGCCAGCGAGGGAAGAGAGTCTAATCAAGGGAGAATCAGTGGAGCTGGCGAATGAGGGGGGTGATCCACCAGCGGGGGAAGAGGAGCAGATGTCTCTGGAGACCTCGCATGGCGATGAAAAAGAGGATCAAGGTGAGATATGTGTGAGGTGGTCCTCGGCTGGCACCATGCCCCGCGGAATAAACAACAACCAACAAATACAAACCCTCGTGTCAATATTTCCTCTCCTTTCATTAATGAGCTCTATATTTTGTCTCACTTTGGTTTCAGCACATCCCAATCTAATGATAACATAACTTGTAAAATGTTGAATATGTAAAAACTCACTTTTTATTTGGGTCACCAAAACCTAAAACTGCAATGGTATTTGCCTTTAAACATTCTGATGCATTAGACTCAGCAGCTTTGGTTGAGCATGCATTGTTTGCAAATTAACCTACTTTAACAGGGAAAAGCTACTAAATGAAGATTAAAAGCCCCTTTCATACATTTTACAATAATTTTGGTTACCAGCCTGAAAAACCAAGGCCTAACGTTCAACCTCATCTGCTTTGGGTGGATTGGGAAACATTTTTTCAATACGCTTTCGGTAGGAAGCGCCTGAGAAAATGTTTACTCAGAATATCCTGACACAAACATTAATCATTCATCAGTGGAAACATCTAAAAAAAGTATCTCAAAGCCCAATGGTTGCATGCAAAAAGACAGCTACTCTAACGACACATTCTGCACTGTGGAAACGTTGCGATACTACTACTCCTCAGCCGCAGCACATCAATGCATTATTCTACATTCCATAGGCCCACTCCACAAACCCTAACCCTTGACCTCTCGTCTTCATCTCCATGTGTGTGTCACATACCAAACCCCTCTCCTAGAAGTGCTGGTGATCTCCGCCCCAGAGCCGCAGGACGCTGGGGGGGCCTCCGTGGAGCCGAGCCCCGAGAACCAGGCTTTCACCCCCGGAACATTCCCGGGTGTGGGGGAGCCTGAAGAAAATGCCCTTGGTGAGGAGGCGTATAACAATGAGATCATAGACCCGACGGATGTCCATTTGCCACATGACGCTGTGGAGCCCCAAGCTGCACCGGATCACTCTGTGAAGGTTCTAGCTGAACCCCCTCAGGCGGAAGGGGAGGAACCAGGCGAGGCCAATGAGCTGCTGGAAGAAGCAGCTGGAAACAAAGGTGAAATAGAAAAAAGCAATAAATATCACAGTTGACTGCCACAGTTACTCTTCTGATATTGGTCAATCAATAATGAGACTGATGGTCTCCAATGGGGTGAACATCTGAACTATGACACAGCACCAATAAACTTACTTCCATTTATTTTGTATCGCTGGTTTTTATGAAATGTTATGTTTGAATATGCAAATCTGGCATATCTTGTCTTTAGATAACTTTTGTTCAAATATGAGAGAAATCTACATTGGCAAGTAGAAAAAGTCATTAAAAAAAGTATATTGGGTGTTTTCTTTCCACCGGTATGGATAAAGATGTGTTCATGTGGAAACTAAATGCCTCAAAGTTCCTGCAGTGTCTCATCTTAAAACGTTTTGAAGGGTCAAACGTTATAGTAAAAAAATCCCATACTATTTTCTAGTGCAGTTTCAGGACTTGAATGGACTGAAAAACGGGTTTGGGTATACATTACAGCAGATTTTCTGCAGCTTATAACTTGGGCAGAGTGGAGAAGATGAAAACAGATCATCTTTGATTTTGCCAACAAAATATACAGATGGCCAAGTTGTTTTTCATCCCATTTGAATAAACACTTGCCAGGCTGACTTCACGCTGACTGACACAGGACCAGAAACTCTCCTGTCACAACATGTTCCACTTCTGTCTCACCGAAATGTTTTACTGTATACAGGTCCAATGCCCCCAATGTCTCAAACAAATGCCCCTTTCAGCTGATGTCCTTTAAACAAGCTTGTAAAATGACATGATGAAAGAAAGCAGGTATTTCACTTCATTTTTCCTTCCTGACAACATTAATGTGATGGCGGGAAAAGCAATGGAGCACAGCCTGTTTAGATGAGGGACGGTTGATTCAGTAGCTGCAAAGCGTTCTGCACGTCATCACCATCTCTCTCTCTCTGTTTAGAGACAGCTGAGCCGGGCCTGGAGCCGTGGAAGATTGGGGCTATTTCTGCTGCAGCCTTCCTAGTTTTGGAGACCATTATCATCGTTGTCTATATCCTCAAATGTCGTAACAAAAACAGGTAGGCAGCCCTGGTTTGGGGCCACTCATTTCAAAGAACACAGACTCGATAAAGTCATTATTTCATCATTTTGCAGCTCAACTACTAGACGGTATTATTCCCGGCAGGTCGCCATCAGTCGACACAATTAGCTGCTTTATACATCCAAGAGTCTCGTACAAAAAGGGATTTTCATTCAAAACCTAATCTTACCGTACTCGATAAGGATTTTTTAGTACCGCTTAGTCCTTGTAAAACAGACTCTTTTATTCTCTCGTTACTTTTTATGAATGGCTATCAAAATAATACTTCTGCATTCGCACAAGTACCAACTATATCCCAGAGCGTCTTCTCTAATGGCTGAAAATAAGCCACCTGATTGCTAGCTGTAGCACCAGCAGCGCTGCAATCACAGATGGGACTTACAGCAGCGCCGGTGCGTGATTGCTTCAGATGTTGCACAAGCTGCAGCTAACACGCGGGTAGATGGTGACGCGAGGAGACGGTGCCCAGTGTTGCTTCACCATTTCTCTTGTAAAAATACAATTTATTATTGGCCCTTCCAATAATATGCTGTACCGTTTTTTGATTATTTTTCCAAATGCTCCAACACAACAGGCAATTCATTTGTAGACGGGCAACAGTGAGCAGCAGCAGTAATAACCGACTTTTTTTATTTGTGTGCGTCTGTGTGCAGCACCGCGGGCATTCAGCGTGCGTGTGAGGAAGGGTGTGTTGAACCGGAGGACGCCACAGGGGGGGACGGCAGTGACGACACACTTCCTGCAAGCAACAGGGACGCCCAACAGTATGTTCACACATGCAACAAATCTATCCAACATCCACGTTTGCTGGATAGCGGGACAGATAGATTGTAGATCAATCGCTCCACGCGACATTCACAACCACTATGAGACGCGGCGGCCCCTGAGACACGCCCACTTTCGGGCCGCCAAATTCAACGCTGCAATTTGAAATCAGGTTTCTCGCAGCAGCTTTATTAAAGCAAAGAAAGGACTCATTGTTGGCCTCCACGAGTCTTGCTCTAATAATCTCCGACCATTGCTCCCCTAGATTTATTGGAAGCTGTAAGTACGCCATGTAGGTCTTTTGTCTTATTTAAGCTATTTCAAGGCTTCATTTCAAGGACTTCATGGTTTATGTTTCACTGAGCTCAGACAGTAGGCCCATGTATTTGCTAGCTCCCCCCCAGGGTCCGATTTTCTGCAACCACCAACCTGACTATCAGTTTGTCACCAACACCAGCCGGTTGTCAGGTCTGCTCGCTGCCATCCAGCTGAATGCTGCGCACTGACCTGCAATCTTGTGGTTCATAGGAACCACCAGCTGCGTGCTTCTCAGCTGATTCCCTCCCGGCTAAGATATGCGCTCAAGAGGCTGATAGCTGGGTCACATGAGGGCGAGCCCTGTGAAGTGGGTAATTCCACTGTTATTTCTAATCAGACTTGCAAGGCTCGGATCAATAATAAGCTAAAGGTGCTTGTGCGCGAGCAGCGACCATGAGAAAGGGGGCGAGGATGAAATCTGAAGGGAAACATGAAGTGTGCACAGCACAGGCAATAACACAGCAACACTGAATGATTAAACACACTGGTCTTGAACTGTGTCCTTGTTAAGAGATTCTATGTGTGTGACAATCCAGCTGCCATTGAATCAGGGAATCACTGAAAACGCTGCCAACCAACCGCAGACGTCACTCTTAGAAATAAGAGTCTCAATAGTTTGCGGTACAAAGTGCTGCTTCTTTTACACAACAGAGGCCCAGACGCAAAGCACATTCAGTAAGTTTTGTCTATTGGCTTGATGATTTTTTGAAACTGTCCAATATGCTTTTAGAAAATGCAAATGAGGGCGACCGTTGTTTGTATAGTAAATAAATGGTTCGAAACGAAGATTCAGAATTCAAACACTCTTTACACACACTCCTCATAACAACTGGACTTGGTATGCGATATCCAGCATTAATAATCATAATAAATGTTACATACACAACCTAACTAAATAAAAAGTGTATATATCCTAAAAATCTAATAATTTGGTTGAATTAGTCATGTACAGTTAGTTATGTACAGGCCTAAAATTAAGTTTCCAAGTGGCAGCGTTGATGGAGATGGTTGTAGGCCAACATCCTACTGGGTCATTAGACAGAGATATGTATTTGTTTATTGGATTTTGGATTATTTTACTTCTGCTTCATTTCAAGTTCTGAGGAAAAATCACAATATCTACACAGTTTCACTAATAAAAAATGATTTTTAAGTGTTAATGCAATCAGCAGATTTAAAAAGCTAACGTTCAGCCTTTTTAAAAGACCCGTACAAGCTTCAAAACACTGAGGAGGTATATTTGCTGGCTCATTTGGTGTTGTAGACAAAACGTCAACATCTCGTAAGCTTGTGTTTATACCGCGGAACTTATTTCAGGAAACAAAAACTCATTAAGATCGTTCCTGAAGCACTCTGTTGTGCAAAATGTCAGATTACAGCAGAGGTAGTAATGGGAGACCATAATGCATTCTGGGTGAGATGCAGCCCTTCAGCGGCCATGCTCTGTACAAAAAGAATGATAGTTGACGTGGCAGTATGGACGGGCTTGGGGGTAAATCTACTGGGGCATTTTTAAAACACATGCAGGGCTTATTTCGTCCTGGACGCTTGTCACCTGCAATTAGTCGATAGTGTCAGCTGACCTATTTATATATCTGGGTGTGTCGTCATCTCCTTCCCCCGTCTCCATCTGGTGCGTCATTAAATAAACACACCCCGCGGTTACAATATTAGCATTGGCTCGCAGCAGTTCGACAGCCATTATGAAAACACAAAATGAAGTTGTGTTGGTTTTTCACTGGTAGACTAAGTGCATCACAATGTCTTTGTTCTTGTGAAACAGATGTTAATCCTCATTTGCATAAAGCAGCTTCCACTGCGTCTGTGATTATTCCTGCTCTCAAACACTGTCTGCAATGGGCCCCTCTGTCCCGTCTCCCAGGATAGCAGCACTCGACGCGTTCCAGGTCCCTTCAACTGCGGCCCTGAACAAAGGGCAGAAGGAAGAGGAGCGCGCGGTCGCCATGTCCGACCTCCCGCCCAGCTCCGCAGAGGAGTCGGCCTGCTCCGGACCAGGACCGGACTGCTCGCAGGACCTCAGGACTTCCATCCTCTAGGGGATCCAATCCAGCCGCTCCGTCTGTCCCCACCGTTAGCTAAACAAAGGCAAAGCAAAAAATACGCCACTCTGCCGGCCCCGGGCCCAATCCAGCCAATGAATCAGCCCGATTTGTCAAAGCCCAGCCAACCCGAACCCGAGTGTAATATCTACAGTATATGCAACACATTTGCATTCGGTGTGCAGGAATGCGTGTCTGCCCGTACGAGTGTAAACTGAAAAACAGACTGTACTGTCACACATTTGGCTCGGGTGAACGCGCGGCAGTGGGCGTGCGCATTAAGCAGGTGAGCCCACCAGTGGAAATGAGTGAAAGGGAAGAGCATGTTTTAAAATACTCCGTGTGCATGTATGTGAGTGTATGTAAATGAAATCAAACGTATTATGATTCCAGTTTGATTTGAATAAAACTGTTGAAATGTTTTTCATACTGAACACATCAGTCAAGCTGAACAAAAGCTGTGGGAAACGATGTAAAAGGGGCTGCGGGTCTTTTTCTTTCTCAGTAATTCACTAAGTGCTTTGACGGTAGAGTGTCACAGTCTCATTAGAATACACAACAAAAAAGAAATGTCACTATTGACACAATGTTAAAAAGTTGATGTTTATTCTTCAAAACACTTTGTATTGTCGTTTATGATTTGAAAAGTACCAAATAAAAAAAAATAAGAATATTGAATGTGTGCGCGTGGCTAGTCAGTAAATCAAGCTCACCCGTTGTGTGGGAATAAGTGGTTTGTGTGGGCAAATGGTCAAAACTTGTCCCGAGCACCTGCCTGCCCCCACAGATAACAAAACATCACACATGTTGTTCAACGGGACGACATTCACGAAGGAGTATGACTGCTATCTCACAGTCGGATCCTTCATTGCTTGAGTGCCCACACAATGGCGTCATTCGGGTTGTGATCATAAGGCCTATGAAAGAATGCATGCGTGTGAACTGTGTGTGTGTGCGTATTGGAGTTCTTACACAAGGTCCCGAGAGGTCTGGTCATGCGCTTATTAGCTATTTAAGCCAAGAGGGGGAAGCGGGCCGGCTCTTGGGGGGCTACAGTTGAGCAGGAAGAGAGGAGCAGCATGCACAGTCACAGGTAGGGGAAGCACACATCACCAATGCTTTAACGTTTCCACATAATCAACTGTGGAATCCAATGAGTGTTCAAATTGCTTCTGTAACAGTTACAAGCTGAAAGTAATTTTGAGTCTAATTTACAATTAAGCTGTTGGCAAACATTTTAAGGATATAATTTAATCGGTAACTTAACTTTAGTAATTGTTATCACTGTTTTGTGTGTGGGGAGGGGGGGCATAATTGCCCCCACCAAACGTAATTCTCACTCCAATCCTTCATTTACACATTCCTCATCAACAAGCTGCAAAAGGTTGAAACAAGCCGCTTGCCGTGTGTTGTTGAAAGCATTTCTGAACTTGTGAGAGTTGAACGCTAATGGCTTTGTGAATTATGAATAATGACTCGCACTGCCTGCAGGGGCGTGTAAGAAGTGCAGTTTTGGAATAATGTTAAGACAATTGGCTTTAACAAGAGAACACAGAGTGGGCGCATTGTTCTGAAGCTTGATTAAAGCGCATGTTTGCAGTGGATTGACTTGATGAGAATAAGATATCCTAAAACCATAAATAAGTGTTTCTAAAATTCCTAACCTACTTAATTCCCCGTCCAACTCCCCTACCCCCCCACCCCCTCCTTCGCTCTGGTTTTTGGGTTAGCATGTGGAGAGCGGTTCTCCTGCTGGGGACCATGAGCGTCACCCTAACCACGGCCCAGTTCCCTCGCGAGTGTGTCACCGCCGCCGGGCTGCAGAGCGGCCAGTGCTGCCCGTCCCCTGTGGGGGCGGTGGGGGACGAGTGTGGCTCCAGCACGGGGAGAGGGCAGTGTGTGGCCATTGCGGCGGACAACCGGCGCCACGGGCCCCAGTACCCGTACGCCGGGCGCGACGACCGCGAGAGGTGGCCGCTGACGTTCTTCAACCGCACCTGCCGGTGCAACGGCAACTTCAGCGGCTTCAACTGCGGGAAGTGTCGTCACGGGCTGACGGGCCCCAACTGTGACCAGAGGGTCTCTGTGGGTAAGAGGAGGCTTGTCTGGGCCTTCAGAGACGTAGAGAACAGCAGCACCTCAACAACTCCTTTTTCACTCTCTTTTTCTCTCCTGCCCGCCTCCCCCCCTCCTCTCCCAGTCAGGAGGAATATCATGCAGATGAGCGCGGCCGAGAAGGTGGCTTTCGTGAACGCTTTGGACCGAGCTAAGAGGACGGTGCATCCTGACCTGGTCATCTGCACGCGGCGGTATATATATATATATATAATATATATATATATATATATATATTATATATATATATATATAATCTTCATTACAATCATTTGTTCAGGACTTTGAGAGAGAATTTTCAAAATGCTTTCATGGCATTTGAAAAGGGAGCTCGATTGCTAATCAGCTAGTCTCTGTGGAACAGACAGCCGAGCTTCGCCCAAAGACCTGCAGGCTCAGTCTAGCGGAGTTTGGCAGTTGAAAGCCTCAGTAAAACAGCTAAGCGTTACCCCATGCTGTGATTTCAAAGGTATCAGTGAAATCAGGAAATTTGTCGAGGCGGGTTTCTGCCCAAGCAGCAGGTGGACGGTGCAAATGATCAGTTTAGGCTGCAGCAAAGGGGTTGATAATCTCCAAGTAGCGCTGAGTAAAATCTTTGAATGACTTAAGAGATCAGTTGCTTGAAGATCGAGCTGACGTTTATTGTGCTGCTCCTCTCGTCTGTAGGTACCAGGAGGTGTTTGGACCCGACGGCAACACCCCACAGTTTGAGAACATCACTATTTACAACTACTTTGTTTGGAGCCACTACTACTCTGTGAGTAAAACCTTCCTCGGGCCGGGCCAGAGCAGCTTCGGAGGCGTAGACTTCTCCCACGAGGGCCCGGGTTTTGTCACCTGGCACCGGTTTCATCTGCTGCAGCTGGAGAGAGACATGCAGGTGAGAAGAGGGAATGGTAAGGATGGCAGGGAGGAAAGCGTTTGGGGATTTGAAGAGCTGTGGATGGGGGGGTAAGCTATCCTGGAGGATAGAAAGCTGGGGGGGGGCAGATAGAGGGTAAAGGGATTCCTACCAAAAGGTGGAATTAGGTATGAAAATAAGGTGGTGGAAACAATACAGGATGCAAAGAGTGGAGTACAAAGAAGGAAGGATATTAAACAGCATAACTTAATTTAACAAAATAAAAAGCTTTTTCTTCCACATGTATCTATTTATCAATGTGCAAGAACTTCCTTCCCTACTTCCATGCAGGACATGCTGGGCGACCCAACCTTTGCACTACCATACTGGAACTTTGCCATCGGGGGCAGCGAGTGCGACATCTGCACGGACGAACTGCTCGGGGCCAGGAGCTCCTTCGATATGAGCTCCATCAGCTCCAACTCCGTGTTCTCCCAGTGGAGGGTCATCTGTGAGAGCGTGGAGGACTACGACTCCATGGGCACCGTCTGCAACAGTAAGGACAGCTGCAGTGTCACACGCACCATCCCCAACACCATGTCACCCATGAACCTGTCACTTTGTAAGACGTAAGCGTTAGTGATCTCACTTACGTATTTACATGCTAGCCTGTCCATGCTGCGTCTCGTACAGGTGCATAGGGGGGCTTTGTGTGTTGGTATCAGACAGCCGGTGCCCTGGACTGCTATGGCACACTGTGCAGGAGAGCGGTGTTGGTACACAGCATAGTCACAGCTGCATCAGAAAAGAGGGCAGAAAGCTCATAAAGAGAGCATGTAGAACACAAGCTGCTATAAATAATACCTCACTGCTGTTGTGCCACATTCTATTTCGCTCTCTACTACGACCGTTTGTCTGAAACTGCTCCATTTGTCTAATAACTTCTTTTTAAAGTTGCCTTTAGCATCCATGCCGCTTCTTCTTAAAACACTTGGACTTCACAGAACCTAATTTCTCTTTTACAGACATCAGAGCTTGCGGTTTCTCCAAGTGTTAATTCCCAATGGGTCGAGCGATTTAGACTAGAATAAGGCAACTGTGTAACACTGTAAGCCAGACTTTACGTGATCAGATTTAAGGGGATTGGATCTCATTCCTCACTGGCACAGGATTAGAACCCTAAATCACTACTTTTAGCACACCTAACACACGCAATATTTATTTCTTTGTTGGCGTTTGAAAATAGTGGAAGAATATCAACCCCACTTTTAGCGCAGAGCTTTAACACATCAAGGGTTGGCGGCGTCCTTTTGAACAAAAGCATTTGTATCAAATGGGAATTCGGTAACAGTCAGAACCTGCGAGCGGCCAACGTGTGAACGATCTGTCTCATTAATCCCCTTAGAGAGTCATGACAGGCCCGGTATTTCCTGCGTCAACAAGCAACATCTCCCTAAATGGGTTAAGGGGGAGTGAGGGGGGGGCTCATTTGTGCATGTGCATGTTGAAGACAGGAATCTAGCAGTCTACTGGTTCCTTTGATCTGAGGGAATAATCTTCAAACAGACAGACAGCTTCAGTTATGTAGCCTTCTGTTTATGTGCTTGCGTGTGTGTGTTTGTGTGGGTGAGAAAGTACAACAAAAAAAAGGTAAGACCGAGATTGTGCTAGAAGGAAGAAAAAAAATTGTTCTGTTCAGTCATGGGGCTCCCACTCACGACAGTTGACTTTCAGTGAATCATTTAAGCAAGAAAACCGCCGTCCTGTCATGTTTGAGACTGATCAAACTAGTACCGTCTAGAATTAGAAAGTAGTTCAAGAATACAACATTTCTCAGTGTCTTCGGTTTCCATTTCTGTTGGGACCAATGGCCCAAATCGTGACTACAATGCCGCACCAACCCACTGCAGCCATTGCGTCGCGGTCGACATCCGCCTCCATTCCCCCGGACTATTGTAACAAGTTTGAAGAAATTCCCCCACAGTGGATGACCTGAAAACCCTGTGTGAAGAGGTCATTGAACATCACCCCTCACCTTAGGTTCCGTCTTCATTCCCCAGACACCGAGACCAGCCCCATCAGGAGGAACCCCGCGGGCAACGTGGCCCGCCCCATGGTGCAGCGGCTGCCTGAGCCCCAGGACGTGTTGGACTGCCTGGAGCTCAACGCCTTCGACACGCCGCCATACTACTCCACCTCCTCCGAGAGCTTCAGGAACACCATCGAAGGTGTGCAGTTCCGTGGGCAGGTTACGGGTTCTAAGATCCTCTCATTCACCTGTCGAGCAAAATCCGCCTCATACTGGAGCTTCGAATCAGATTCACACACCGCTCGCTTCAACATAACAATGGTTATTTAGAAAAACATTTACGAAACTGGAACCTTTCTCTAGGCTACAGCGCCCCCCAGGGGATGTACGACCCGGTGGTCCGCAGCCTCCACAATCTGGCCCACCTCTTCCTCAACGGGACGGGGGGACAGACTCACCTCTCGCCCAACGATCCCATCTTCGTGCTGCTGCACACGTTCACCGATGCGATCTTCGACGAGTGGCTCGGCAGGCACCAACCAGGTGCGTTCAGGATGGGCGGGGTGCTGCTCCAAATTCAGCAGAATATATGGATGAGCCCATTTGTTTCTCCTTCTGCAGGTGAAGTGATGTACCCCGAGGAGAACGCTCCCATCGGGCACAACCGGAGATTCAACATGGTTCCATTTTGGC